GAGGCTAGCTGCGAAGGGCTTCTCCAGCCAGTCATATCAGAGATGGGCTCCAGGGTTGTCCACACATGCAGCCATGCAGCAGGGAGCCTGACATAGGTGAGCTTGGCAGCTGCCCTGCTTCTCTTCCTGGAGTCTCCTGCAGAACAGGGCCCAGGAGATTCTGCCTACCCAGAAGCAGACATAAGAGAGAAGATAGCTTTTACCACATGATCATTCTCTGAAGAAAATATGGAAAGAGCAGCTAAATGAACACCAGAAAAATATATCCATGAAGCAGGGTGGATGCCGTAACCACATCTCAACATGATGGAGGACCAGAAACCAGCCAGTGAGGCAGTTCTGCAAAGGCAGGCTCAGGACAGAAGCTGAAGAAAGATGTGAGCACCACCAAGGAGGTGAGGGGAGAGGCAGGTGAGCCTGCAGAAAAAGTCAGAGGCACTGGGGGACTGGAGAAGCCCAGGGGGGTAGAGGTGAAAGCTTCGCAGACCATCAGAACGGAGCCACATGGTCGTCTCGGGACGAAGAGGCTCAGCACAGCTGCAGAGGACACGAGGGGTGGTGGGTGCCCTCCCCAGATCCTCAGAGAGCAGCACTGGAGGGAAGGCTTGGCCCTCTTCCCCATGGCAGAGCAGACCCAGGCAGGTGGCTTGTGTGTGAGTCGGCTGCTCTCCACCCAGGTGCTAGGCCCTAAGGCAAAGCAAGGGACTTGCTGCAGGGAAACAAACCAGAGTCCTCACAGAGTGGGAAGAATGGGCCCTCAGACTGCTCCTTCTTCGTTAGGCAATGGAGAAGTCCTTGCCAGATCCTCGTGGACTCTGTGTCTAAACAGCATTTTGTTTGGAGGCTGCAGACAGGAGCACTGACCACATAGGAACACAGATAATATTGTTTTCGAGTAGATTTAGAAAACTTTAATTGTCACATAATAATTGAACAAACTTGTGAGGTACAGTGTTCTGGCCACATAGTTTATAACTAGCTTGTCCATTTCCTCACACATTCATCATTTCTTTGTGGCAAGTACATTCAAGATCACTCTGCTGGTTTTGAGATCCATGGTGTTGTTGTTAAGGGCATTCACCCTACTCTGCTTGTCAACACCAGTGCTCCTCCTGTCCAGCTGTAGTGTGGCACAGGTCAGCCGAGCCTCTGCTAAGCCTCCCAAGCTCCTGCTCACACTGTGGTACTGTCTTCTGTGAGAATAGCTGTTGAAGATTCCACATGAGAGAGACTGTGTCTGCCTTATTTCACACAACACAATCATTTCCATTTCTATCGGTGTTGTCTCCAAAGGCTGCATTTGTACACTGATTTTTTATCCTGCACCTTCCTGAATTTGATGATTAGTTCTAGTAGTATTTTGGCAGTCAGACCTTGTCATCTGCCAACGGTGACAGTTTGACTTCCTCTGGTCCAATTCGGATGCCCTGGCTAGGATTTCCAGGATTGTATTGACTGACAGTGCACAGTGGGCATCTGGTCCCCTCCAGACTAGAGAATTCTCAGCTGCCCCTCCAGGATGCTGGTAGCTGGGGGCGTGTGCTGTGTGCCTTCCGTCCCTCTTGTGTCAATGGTTTTTGTCCTGAAGGATGTTGACTTCCATCAGATGCTCTGTCCAAGCAACCTTGTGGATTTTGCCCTGGATGAGTCGTGTGCATGTTTCCTGACTGCTTCCCTGACCATCATGGTGAGTCGTCTTGACATGCTGCTGGCCCCGGTTGCTAGAGTTCTGTGGGCCTTTGTCCCCCAGGATGCTGGCTGGTGGTGTTCTGTTGTGTTGTAGCCTGATTTTGGCACCAGGCCATGCTGGCCTCCTAGAATGCATTAGAATAATCCCTCCCCTCCTAGGTGTAGTCTGAGAAGAAATGCACTTAGTTCTTCAAGTGCTTGGCAGAACCCAGCAGTGGAGCTGGGTAGTCCTGGACTTTTCTGGGACAGGGATTTTACTCCGTGCTCAGGCTTGTTACTCACCGTTGATCTGTACAGGTTTTCTGTTTCCTGCTGATTCAATCTTCGTAAGTTGTGTGCTTCAGGAGTTTCCTCTGGAAGGTAGTGTAGAAGGATCTGTCTGAAACGGTCACAGCTCCTGTTTTTAGTCCAGACCTTGGCAATCATGAGCATTTTTGAGGAAACTAACTTCAACCAATCAAGAGATGGCTAGGAAAGCAGTGGCAACAGAAGTGGACATCAGCAGTGGCCCAGTGCACTAACTGTGGCCGGGAGGTGACATGCAAGGACCAGGGTGCAGGACAGAAGTGAATGTCCTAGACCCTGGCAGGGAAGAGGTGGTGCAGCTTGCAGCACCAGGTGGGGGGAGGGCCACAGGGCAAGGGGGAGGGGCAAGAAAATGTCAGCTTTACCCTGAGTTTTTGGAAACCACTGGGGCTGAGACATGCTGTCGGGGTTC